GAGGCTCACGCTCGAGCGTCTCAGGATACAGAACGAGCTGCCCCCCAACAACGACAACACCAACAACAACAACAACAACAACAACAACAACAACAACAACAACAGCAACAACAACAACAACAACAACGACAACAACAACGACAACAACAACAACAACAACAACAACAACAACAGCAATAACAGCAGCAGCAGCAACAACACCACCAACAACACCCCAACACCACCAACAACAGCAGCATCATCAGCAGCAACAACAACAACAGCAGCAGCAATAACACCACCAACAACAACAGCAGCAACAGCAGCAACAGCAGCAACAACACCACCAACAACACCAGCAGTCACAGCAACAGCAGCATTAACAACAACACCAACAACACCAATAACATCAGCAACAACAGCAGCGACAACACCAGCAACACCAGCAACAACAACACCAACACCAACAACAACAACATTCACTTTGAGACTGTTCGCTATTATCTGCTCGCGTCCCATCCAACACGTATATCCCAAACCCTCGGTACCCGCTTCGTTCGTCTTCGATCGTACCCCCTCTTAGTTTCATATCTTCCCTACCTGCCACGTGTAGTCGGTGCAGCCCCTAAAACAAGTAAAGGAGGGAGTGGAGAGACATGGGGGAGGGAGGAGGATAGAGCACGAGAGAAATTTGCAGGAGGAGGGTTAGGAGCAAGAGCGCAAGCGGCAGAACCAGCCTAGCGTGTCGGGAGGGCGGACCCTAACGGGCAGGTCGGGAGGGCGGGCTCAGACGGCCAATTTCTCAGAACTTTACTAACAGTCTGCAGGCTGGGCGGGCCCAGACGGCCAGGTCGAGCGGGCGGGTCGCTAAAGCGTCAACCCATCACGAAGGGAGTTTCGAACGATAACACGATGCCCACGTACATCGTCAGGAATTCCAGAGCGAGGGCGTGATTTGGGAGTCTTGGGGTCGCGGCGCCGCAATACATTGTGAGGAAGCACCACGCGAGAGCGCGACCCCTGGATACATGATGAGGAAATCCGGCGCGAGAACGCAAACTTAACATACATTATCAGGCGGGAGCCGTTGCATGTTAATTACTATTGTTGTTGGACCCCCCCAAGCGCTTTGGCGCTCTCGCCTCGGCGCCGGCTACATTTCCATTGAAAATGAGGCTCACGCTCGAGCGGTTTGGGGGGCGCCCAAACAGGCCCCCCAACAACAATAATAATAACAACAACAACAACGCTCCCGCTCGAGACCTCTTCATTTTTTACTTAGGGCTGGTGCTCTTGCTCGCCGCCGAAAGCCGCCGTCCCAACAAAACCAGCGCTACCGCTCGAGACTTGTTCCCATTTTACCTTGGACTGGCGCGCTACTCTTTCTCTCATCGGCCCCGCCCCCAGCAACAACAACGCTCCCACTCCAGCATTTCTCCCTTTTTTACTCAAGGCGGTGCTCCTCATCCTCGCCGCCGAAAACCGCCGTCCCGACAAAACCAGCGCTCCCGCCCGAGACTTCTTCCCGTTTTACGGTGGACTGGCGCCCTACTCTCTTTTGAATTGGCTCCGCTCCCAACAAGAACAACGCTCCCGCTCGAAGCTTCCTCTCTTTTTCCTCAGGACGGTGCTGCTGTTCCTCGCCGCCGACAGCCCTCGTCCCGGCAAAACCACGGCTCCCGCTCGAGACTTTCTCCCTTCTTACTCAAGGCGGTGTTCCTCCTCGCCGCCGACAACCGCCGTCCCAACAAAACCAGCGCTCCCGCCCGAGACTTCGTTTTGTTTTACGCTGGACTAGCGCCCTACTCTCTTCAGCATTTGCGCCGCTCCCAGCAACAACAGCGGCCCTGCTCGAGACTTCCTCCCTTTCTATTCAGGCCCCATCCCCACCAAGGCAATCCTGTCGCTCGATACTTCCTTGTGCTTTACCCTTGGCTGGGGCTCCACTGGCGATCTCGCATCGTCGCAACAAGGCGCGGGCATGCGTTTTCGAGGCGGGATCAGTTGAAACTCCTCGGAGGAGGTGTTTGCAAAGACGTCATTGGGCGGAAGATCTGGGAATGGGAACAGCGGACCCCGCTATAAAAGAATAGTCCCCCCTGATGGGGATGGTTATCATGATGGTCGCATACTTCGTGTGGAAACATAGCGCGTGAGGATAAACATATTGTTGTTGTTATTGTTATTGTAAGCCCAGGGGCAAACGGCGCAATCTAGTGATCACAAGCTCTCCATGATGAAAACAGAGTGCGAGCCCAGGGATGAGCACTGACTTTGACATGGGGGCTGGAGGACCAACAGGAAGTATTCATTATACATTAATTTCAACATTACCACCACCAGCAAACGCGACAACCACACCAACAGCATCACCAACAGCATCACCAACAACAAGACCAGCAATAGCAACAACAGCAGCAGCTACAACAACACCAACGACACCACCACCACCAACAACAACAATCTTTGTAAGACTGCTCGCTCCTATTTGTTCTCGTGCCATTCAAAACGTAGCTCCCACACCCTCGGTACCCGCCCTCTTCGTCTTCGATCGTACCCCCCCAGGGGTAGATCTTCCGTAGTTGCCACGCGCATTTAGCGCAGTCCTTAAAGCAGGGGAAACGAGGACGGATGGAAGGGCGAGGTAGAAGGATGGAGCACGAGAGAAACTAGCAGGAGGGGGGCTGCGAGCAGAACACACGTGGCAGAACCAGATGGGCAGATCGGGCTGACAGACCCTAACAGGCGGGTTGGGAAGGTGGGCCCAAGCGGTCAGGTCGAGCAGGCGGGTTCCTGAAGTCCTGCATGAATCGCGAGGAAGCCTCGCTCGATCGTGCGACTCCCAAGTCCATCGTGAGAAAGGACAAAGCGAGAGCGTGAGTCCTGAGTGCCGAGGGCGCGGCGTCTGAATACATTGCGAGAAATTCCAAGGCTAGAGTGTGATGTCTGCATCAATTGTGAGGAAATCCCACGTGAGAACACGGTTTTGGGATCATTTGTGAGGCAATATCAAGCGGGAACCGTTGTTGTTGCAGCCGGGGGCAACAGCACAGTTTGTGCAGGAGTACTTTCCCTGATAACAACCAGGGTGCGAGCCCCGAGGGGGGCACTTCAATTGAAAAGTACAATGTGCACTGGTGGGGGGGATCAGCAATAATTATTCTTCAAGAATGAAAGCTCAACAAAGCTCCCGTCCGATACTTCCTCACAGTTTACTCCGAGAGGCCCTGGCCAGAGCGGGACCGAGCCTCAAGAAAAGCGCTCTCGCCTCAGACCTCCCCACTATTTACCACCACAAAAGGGGGCCTTCAGAGCAATCATGCCGCTACTTGCTGATGTCGGAACGGCCGTTTCGCTTGAGTTTTCTGTGCAAGTTGGCAGTGCAAGGGGGTCCTTCAGAGCCAGGTTGCTGGTACTCGCGGATGCTGGCAAGGCCTTTTCGACTGTCGTCGCAATTCAGCACCACAAAGGGGCCCTTCGAAACATTATTGCTGCTACTCGGGGATGCCGGAACGGCCGTTTCGCTTGAGACTTCCTCGCAATTTCGCATAACAAGGGAATCCGTCAGAGCAGTCTTGCCGCTGATTGTGGAGGCCTCAGGAGGCCCCAAGACGCTCCTGGGATATCTGTTCGTGTGCAGTTTTCCGGCCCTCCCACCCCCAGGAGGCCCCAGGATGCATGTTCTGTATTGGGATCTCTGTTCTGTTCGGGGAGCGTATTCGGCCCCTCTGCTCCCAAGAGGCCCCAGGAGACACTCTTATATGTTTGGGATACGTGCTCGGGGAGCATTTTCCGGCCCTCCCGCCCCAAGGAGGCCCCAGGAGAAGCTCTTCTGTATTGGGATAATTTCAATCAGCCCGTATGGTAAGGAGGATGCGCGATAAGGGTGCAAGGGCCTTGCCAGCCCACTTCGAAGCTTTTCGAGTTGGGCTCGGCCAGCGAAAGTGGCCGAGGATGGCCCTTCGGAAGGTTTCCCATCCTCTCTGATGCGGGCTTCCTGCAATCGTGTGTTCGGGGAGCGCTTTTCGCCCCCCCCCCCCCCCCGCCCCAGGAGGCCCTAGTGTTCGGGGAGGTCCCCGTAGGCTTCGCCCTCGTAGGCTTCGCCGCCTCTCCCCGTGGGGCTCGAGATCTTTGTGCTTGACGCTCTTCCTCGACATATCTATGTACATATATCATATATATACATATATATATATATACATATACATAGATCCCCTGTTCTAGGGCTTGAACCCTTTGTGCTTTACGCCTGTTCCCGTATATTGTCCCTCGACTGGGGCTCGAATCCTGTGTGTGCGTGTGCGTCACGTGTGTCCCTAAATCTGGTCCCTTCGACGGGGGCTCGAATCCTTAATGTCTCACGACTTTTCCTACATATTGCCACTCTCCTGGGACTGGAATCCTTCGTGTTTTGAGTCCTCACCACTCCCATCGTCACATTGCTTTTTTATTCATCGTGCGAGCTGAAAATAAAAATGTGTCTCGGGAGAGGTATCGGCTCTAACTCCTTTTGCGTGAGGTCCGGGTGTGGGAATATCGCTCCCTTTTCCTTAGTTCCCCCAAGAGGGGGTGACATCATGATGGATGCATGTGGCATGATGTTGAAGCATGGTACGTAGGGGTAAAATCACTGTTGTCGTTGATGTAGTCACGGGGCCATTACGGCGGCGGTTTCTCCGGGAAAACATTTCCTGTTGAACAAGAAGAATGTGCGAGAGTCGATAGGCGGCACTTCAGTGGGAAAATCACAATTGCACCGGTCAGCAACATTTCTTACCTATAAACAAGAATCAACAAGTGACATATGCCACTGCAGGGTCAAGCTTAGAGCTCGCCCTGTCTGGATTGGGGCCGGGGAGCCACGTTGTTAGATTCGGCACTCCATGGAACTCCAATATCTGGCGCGGCAGCTTCTGAAAGCATCATCGAAGCAGATTTCCAGCCCGATGGACGTCTCTCGCCCCAGCAAATCGGGCAACCCTGACGTGGCGGCTGAGGCTAGGCAAGCCACCGGCATCGTCCTCGTCGTCCATCATGAAGCGGACGCGATTACTCCGCCCTCTGTCGTCCACCTGAGAATAGTAAGCAGGACGAAGAGAAATCAGGGGCGCAATCGCTGGACACACACACACATACCCCGCCCGCGGGCATTGACAGATGTACCTTCCGCGGATCGAACAAAACATGTACTTTACCAGAATGTGTTCTGAGGCGCCATGTGCTGTAGTAATTGTCGTGCTTTGCGTGCCGCAGCGATTTTTATCAGTCCGCTCAGGAAATCCGCGATGGCTCACAACCGTGGGCATCAGACGTGCTATTGTAGTAAGAATGCGTGCAGAGCGAGGTCTAACACTGGTTAGCATTATCACCAACCATGCCAACGACACGAAATCTTGCAGTACGGCTCACGGCCAATTTTGGGCCTGGCAGGATTCTTCTCACGGTCAGTGATCCTGTCCAGATCTTTCCCGGATGTCTTTGTTGGCGTTCCCCGAAGCCCCACATCCCACCTGCCCTTTTATAGGGCATGAGTGGTTCAGGGAGTTTCCTGTTCCGACTCCCCTTTTTCCCTTTCGGGGAAGGGCTTCCCCCTCCCCCTCCCCCCTCCCCTGGACGGGGCGGGGCGGGCCGCGGGTCGTAGGAGCCTCCAAGATGGCCTCGGCGAGGAAGCCACAATCATTGATTTTACTAACAAATTTTGTCCACACTTTGGCCTCCTGGGGGTGGGGCGCCGCTGATTACGGATCCCCTCCCTCCTTTGATCGATCTCCTCCGAGATGGCCCCCAAGGCTCCCAAGGGTGCATCAAGGTGGCCCCAACAGGTGCCCAGGAGGCCCCCCAGATGCCCCCAAGAGGTTCCAAGATACCCCCAAAAGGCCCCCCAAAGACACCCAAGGCGCCCTAAGAGGCTTCGGCGAGAAGGCCAAAATCAATGATGTTACCAAGGTTTTGTCCACATTCTGGCCTCCTGGGGGGTGGACCCTAGTTAAGGAGACCCCCTACTTTGACCGATCGCCTCCAATATGGCCCAGAGATGGCTCCCGAGGCTCTCAAGGGTGCCCTAAGACGGCCCCCAAAAGGGCCCAGGAGGCCCCCAGAGGCCGCCAAGAGGCCCCCAAGAGGCTTCCAAGCGACCCTCAAGAGGCCCCAGGAGGCCCCCCAGAGGCACCCACGACGCCCCAAGCGGCCTCGGCGAGGAGGCCGATCGGATTGATTTTATGTAAGTGTTGTCCACATTTTGGCCTGCGGGGGGGGGGACCCTAATGAAGGAGCCCTCCCCTCCGTTGATCGATCTCTTCCAAGATGGCCCCAGGATGGCCCCCGAGGGTGCCCCATGAGGTGCCCAAGAGGTGTCCAAGAGGAGCCCTGGAGGCTCCCACGAGGCCCCCAAGATGTCCCAAAAGTCCTTTAAGAGGCCCCCAGAGCCCCAGAGGCCTCCAAGGGGTACCCAAGACGCCTGAAGAGGCCCGCGGAACCGCCAAGAGACCACCAAGACGCCCCAAGAGAACCCCAAGAAGTTCTCGAAATAAATTCGACGAGACTCCGGGAGGCATCTAAGAGGCCTCTGGTCTTCGGTTCGCCCTCCTCCTCCTCCTCCTCCTCCTGCTTCTCCTCCCCCTCCTCCTCCGCCTCCTCCTCCTCTTCCTGACCCGCCTGTTCCTCCCTCCTCCCTCCACAAGTACTCACTTGGAATGCTTCTCTGCTCTCCCCCCGAAGATGATAAAACAGGTAGCCCGCCCCACTCCGCGCTGTGTTCCTTTCACGCACAGGATTTCAGCACCTATCTTCTTACGCTTCTACATACATGTGTCTAAAGATATCCGAATGTTTTCGGTGTTGCAAGATGGTGCTCCCGCTGCATCGTGGGCCTCATGTTCGAATCGGCGGTTTGCTCCCGTCGTTCAAAATGGCGCTCTCGCCCCAGCGCGGGCCACTTTTCGACTCCGGATATTTCTTCATCGTGGCCGCGCCCCACATTTCCCCTCCTCCACCTTCCCCTGGTCCTCCTTTTCTTGACTATCCTTCCGCTTTAGTTCCTGCTGCTGCTGCTGTTCGTCCTCATCCCTTTCCTCCCGCTTATCCTCCTGCTCACCCATCACCTCCTCCTCTTGTGCACGCAGCTCCCCTTCTTCCGATTGCGCATGCCACGAAGTGGTCTTCCTGTGGGAGTCGCAGCTCGGCTACGACACGCGTCCGTGGAAATGATAAATCGACGCCGTGGGAAGGGATGGGAGGGAAGGAAAGGAAGTCAGATGAGGCGCGAGCGCACCTAGCGTGTCCCCCTCCCCCCTCTCTTCTCCTCCTCCTCCCGCTCTTCCTCCGACTTCTCCTCAATCCTCCTCCCGTGGAGTACGACGTCTTACCCAGCCCTTTATTTCACTGCATGCTCTTCCACATCCCTGATGAAGGCAACTCGTCTGGGCATCGTTTCTGTACGGGCTGGGGGGGTACCGAATCGTCTAACATGTTGTATGTCGTGGGTTCACCGTGCAGCCCCTGAGGAGGAAGCCAGTCTGGGCTTCTGCTTGCAAGATCGTCTCTTCTTCCTGGCACGGACTCTTCGCTGCATCACTGGTGCATCAACGTATGGCTACTCTAACACCACTGTTATGATCTGCCGTGTGACACTGGTCAACGACCAAAGAACAAATCGTCGAGATTTTGGAATGAAGGGGGGTGGTCGTTGTAAACGAATCGTCCATGCTCGGGCGACAGAATTCACGCCAATAGTAAAACACGTATCGTGCGATCGTGCGAAAATCACGGGCGCATTCGTGAGCGAATGTGAACTCACCGACTTGCGTTACATTCATCGACCCCTTGGGGCCACTCTGCGTGTGAGATAATTCCCGCCTTCCTCCCCAAGGGGGGGACGATCCGCAAACCGGCCGGAATACCGGGACCGATCTCCCTCTGTGGACAAAGGGAAAACCGGGAATGAAGAACGGCGTGCCGGCGGCATCCTCCCGCTCTCCCTCCCCAACCTGCGTTGGATGGGGGGCGGGCGCATGCCTCCCCTCCCCCCCCCCTTAGGGGGCCCCCCCATTCCGGGCCCGCTGCCCCATGTGCGCAGCGGGAAAGCAGGGCCCCCCCCCCCCGGGGATCCCGCCTCTCCCGGCCCCGTGAGGGGAGGCTCCCCTGTCTTTCCCCCAGGGACCTCCCTGTGGAGCAGGGGGAGTGCCCCGCCCCCCCCCCCCCCACCCCCCAGGGAAATGAAGAACGTCAGAGGAGGTTTGCCCTCCCTGCTCCGACTCCCCCGTGGAGACGGGGGGAACCGCACGACAGAGGGGAGGTGGGGGCTGGCCCCCTGTGAACAAGGAGGAGCGCGCGTCAGAACGCCTCCCGCAGGGGCAAGAGGACCCCTTGCCCTTGCCCCGATGTCAACGAGAAAAAACAAATTCCAAGGCTCCCTGTTTTTCCAATCCCGGCGCGCGCTATCGAAAAGGATCCCATGGCTTCCAGAGTCTCCACAAAAGCCCCGGCGACGCTCCAAGTAATCCTCCGAGAGGCTGGTTGTCCAAATGCGATGCGTGCTGCAACGCGGTGACCAAGGGGTTCTTCAATGAAATGCGTAAGCCCCGCATTCGTACGACCTCGGCGCGAGCGGGCCCGTGCAATGCCCTCGCGGGTGATTCCCTTTCGGCTGGCGTATGACTACGTCCGAATTCGAATCAGTGTGATCACGTGCATCCCAGTATGAGTGAGTCTGACGGTGAAAGCGCACAGGCAAAGAGGCGGATGAGTGCAGCAGGACACGCGACACAAAGAACATGATCCCCTCACTCAGGATATGAGGACTGATGGAATTGAAAAGAACAAAGATGATGAGGAGGAGAGGACGAACAACGGCGACGGAACCCCCAACAGGGACGAGGGATGATGATGAGAGGGGGAAGCGGGCGAAGATAATGAATGCCCCGCCCGTAGCGTCTTCGATGTTTGTCACTGCGGCGGACGGCACCGCGTCGCGGCAACTCTGCGCTACTGCCGCTGCCTTGGAACGGCTCGGAGCGACCCCCACGGCGGCCGCCGCCATCACCCGGCGGTCTCCGCGGCCAAGCAGAGGAGTCTCCAGGGACGTCCGACGACGGCCCCATAGGGCCCGAAGGCGTCAGCAGACGATTCCCCAAAAAACCTCCCAGAAACGCCACGGACCCCCCAAGACACCACCCAGGAACCGTCCAGAAAGGCCCTTACCCGTCACCCCCTCGTCCATCCCGCCGTCTCCCCACTACCTTGGAAATCGCCCTCCTCACAATCACTCTGTCGTGGCAAACTCTTGTTACCTCGCCGACCCGGAGGGTGACTTCAAGGGAACGGAGGTGCGGCACCACTAACGTTCGGAGGTCCGCGCGGATTGCCCCGGTCGGCGCTCAGCGCCCCTCCCCACAACCCTAACCCTGGCGCGCGGAGCGGGGGGGGGGGGGGGGGGCAGACGTCACCTGCGCGAAGGTGGGCGTGGGGAAGGAACCTGCGCGGAGATGGGGGGCGGCGACCGTCGCGCGTTTGCGGCGGCGAACGACGAGGCCAGACAGGCACGACGCGACAACCAGACAGCCACGGCGCAACGGCAGGAACTCTCTGCCCCTAGCTGTCCGCGCCGTCGGGGCGCCAGGCGCACGGCCAGATGTGCGGTGGCCCCAGCGCTGGCGCAATAAATCCACCGGGACCTCCAGAAGGACAACTATCGTGTTAGGAGGAACGGGTTGGGAAGATGCAGGGCACGACTGTGTAACAAGTATATGTCACATACGCAATAAGACGGGTAGTCTGATCATTTCTCCCAGCCCCATCCTCCCAACCCGATCAATGTCTTTCTGAGTCCCACATCCCCACGGAACCCGAAAGTTTGGTCGACTCCCAAGCTGGAGGAAGGAACCCCATGGAATGCCTCGACAACTTCCCGCGATTCTCTTGCCGTCTCGGAGGCACACGGAGGATAGGGAAGTCTCAGGTGTGGACTGCACTTTTCGAACGAACCCAAGTACAACGTCGAGGAAATGGCGCAAGAGCGCACCCCGCGTCCCCAATATCA